TGGTGACTGAAGACGTGTTCTAATCATGAATGCTGGCTTGTAGTCTGAGATTACAAAGTCTCGCGCGTAATCTCTAATTTGAAGACTTGAGAAAATGCATGGATGGGGCTTGATGCGCGTTCGTTTGGCGTTGCGCCTATATAGCTGTCGCATGCAGCATCAGCAGCAGCATCAGCAGCAGCAGCAGCAGCAGCATGCAGAAGCAGCTGAGCGCTCAGGCTGGGAGAAAAGCCGTTCCCGTTCAGATCTTCGAATTTCACTGTGACTCACTCACGACTTTCCACCTTGAATCGCAAAGACGACCTTCATTCGCGATTGGCTTGATCGGCGTGTAGTCATCTCATCGACAAGCATCGACTGCGCCACTGCGCCACTGCCACTTCCTGCTCATCACCTGCCGCATCCATTCTCGTGGCAACATCCTTCACACCTCGCTAGCACCAAAGGAGCCCAAGCTGCATCCTGACATTATGACGAGCGACACTCTGGCGCCCAGCGCGAGCGCGAGCGCCTCGCCCATCGCCTACGATCTCACACCCACCGTGCTCAAGTATGTCGATAGGCATCTGGCATTCCCCCTTCTCTCCCACATGGCCTCTACGGAGCAGTACAAGCAGGATGATATCGCAAAGGCACAGTACGAGCTGGCAAAGGGAAGTGAGTGGCCTTGAATGCGTCGTGTTGGAGCTTCCAGGCAAGGCAGACAATGCTCTATCCTGTCACGAGGCTGTTCATGGTCCGTCGCGGGGTGATCGAGTAGTAGGTTTGGGGCATGAGCTAGTCTGACCTCGTCTTGCCTCGTCATCCCCACGCAGCTTCGATGGTGGACTATGCCTTGATGCTGCATGAACAGGCTTTCCCGGATCAGCCAGCCCCAGCAGAGCTGGAGCAACAGCGAGCAGCAGCAGAGAAGCAGAACGAGAAGCTAGCGCAAGAATCGGAAAAGGTTCTCAATGTCATCGAAGATCCATCCGTCGCTGCTTCGCTCAAGCAGGACAAGGTGGAGAATCTGAGATTCTTGGAAAAGAATTACGATTTGAACGAGGAGCAGATCAATGCTTTGTACCATTATGGACACTTTCACTTTGCGTGCGGTAATTATGGAGAGGCTAGCTCTTACCTCTACCACTTTCGCGTACTCTCCGTGGACCCGAATCTGACTCTCTCGAGTCATTGGGGCAAGCTCGCGTCCGACATTCTCACAGGTTCGTGGGACGATGCTCTGTCGGAGATCAACCTGCTGCGCGAAGCCTTGGATTCTGGCGCTCACTCTGATGGAGGTCAAGAAGGAGCGCTGCGTAGGCGCACATGGCTGTTGCACTGGAGCTTGTTCGTCTTTTTCAATCATCCCGAAGGAAGGGTGGGATTGGTGGAGATGTTCCTCGCTCCCGCATACATCAACACCATGCAGAC